TGATGGTGGTTGCCTGGTCTGGTGGAAAGAAATCCACCCTGGGCTTGCGGTGCTAAGTCTGCCATTTGCTGAGGTAGGACCGGGGGCATACTTCCCTAGGCCTCTGTTTCCTCTCCTGAAAGATCAGGATTTTGGATTAGATGTTCTCTAAGGACATATTTTCTGTATATTTAAAAAGTCATTCTTGTTTTTTTCTTTAAAAATTAATTTATTTTGAGAGATAGAGAGCATATGCAGGGGAGGGGCAGAGAGAGAGAGAGAGAGAGAGAAAGAGAGAAAGAAAGAATGGAAGAGAGAGAAAATCCTAAGCAGGCTCTATGCTGTCAGCACAAACCCGATATGGGGCTTGATTTCATGAATCGGGAGATCATGATCAGAGCTGAAATCAAGAGTCAGATGCTCAGCTGACTGAGCCACCCGGGTGCTCCTGTTGTTTTCTTATTATACAAAAATAATATACATTCATGGTGAATTCCCAAAACAAAATAAGCAAAAAGAGTTAAACTCACATATGCTGCTACAATCCAGAGATACACATGATTACCATTTTGATGTATATTCTTCCACTCTTTCTATTTACCTATAAATATTTAAATACACAAAAAATGAGGTCATTCTACATATACACCATTTGATGCCTACTTGTTTTTACTTAAGAGCGGGAACATCTTTATCATGAGTTTTAAAAATGGAATCCCAATTTATGAATAGGCCATCTATTTCTCTAACCAATCCCCTGTAAGTAATTTGGTATTTTTTAATCTCTTGCAACTTTTCACAGTTATTATAATGAAAATCCTCATGGCTAAATCTCCAAACATTTCCAAATTCTTGTTTTAGGGTAAATTGCCCAAAGCAGAATAGCTGGGTCAAAAGTGATGCATGTTTATTAGGTGTTGATATCAGTTGCTGTACTCACATAAAGTTCAGGTTATAGGACATGCTTTGGTGTCTTCAGACAAAATGAATTAGACTCCGGAATCCTGAGCATGAATATTCCCTTTTATAAGATCTGTTGGAGTGCATTTATACATGTACATACTTCTGTGGGGGCAGTTTTGGTATGTCATTTTGTGATGACTGAGGAAGAATTGCAGTATATATTATATGACCACCTTCCAACTTCCTTTCAGGGAGTACTATTATAGAAAGAAAAAAATATCCTTATTCATTTCTGAGCATGCAGAAAATTTACAACTGATTCTCTAAGATCTTTTCAGCTCTATCAGTTCATGAAGGGATTAGACTGATCAACACATTTATTGAGTACCTAATAAGCACTTAGTGATGAGGCATTTGGCACTAAGAAGTGCAGTGTTGGGGGTGGGGGGAAGCCACATGACAATGGTAAACCTATGTCACCAGAGTCTAGCTGTGTGGCACATGCAGTTGTGCTATAGGTGCCGAGAGAGGAGTCCCGGGGGCCCACAGGGTCGGGGAATTGAGTGCCCTCTCCAAAGATGCTGTGTTAACCTGAACTCTTTGATTAGCACCTGAGAGAAAACTACCTCAAATTAGCTGAGCAAAGAGGTTTACATTTATTGACTCCTATAATCAGTCCCTAGGAAGACCAGGGATTTGGGATTCTCCTCCCCCCCCCCCCCACTCCTTCTGCTTCTCTCTTTGGGTTGGCTTCATTCTCTCAAAACTTTCTAAGTTGGTGCCTGGAATTAGGCTGCTAGCTGCTTGTGCTTAAATCTTTAAAGTCTTAGTCTAAGTTCAGAGGGGAAAAACCTCTTTTCCATCTCTGGTTTAAAAGAAATCCCAAGAAGCACTCTGATTAGCCTGGCTGGGGTGCTGGGCCTGCATGTGGAACAGCATTGGGCCCAGAGGAGGCCTCATGATTGACCACACCTGTGGGCAGAGGGTTGGGGCTATTGCCCTGAGAAGAGGGAAAAGGATCACCTATGTGGAATCTAAACCTCAGCTCCCAAAAACAGAGCAGAATGGTGTTTGTCAGGGGCTGGTGGGAGGGAGAAATGTGGACACCCTGGTCCAAGGTTACAAACTTCCAGTTATAAGAGGAATATGTTCTAATGATCTAATGTACAGCATGGGGATGATAGTTAACAATACTGTATTATATGCTTGAAAATTAAGAGTAGGTTTTATATGTTCTCACCATAACAATCAAAAACAGCCATCATGCAAGGTGAAGGATGTGTTAACCTTATTGTGGTGAATATTATATATGTGTACACGTTAAGCTTATACAGTGTCGTGTCAATTATATTTCAAGGCTGGGGGAACGGAACAAGAGTGCTAGGCAGACTGAAACACGATAAGCATTTAAGATGAGGAGGGATTGTGTAAACAGCTTTAACAGGGTTAGCAGCAGCAGCTGATATATGAATTGATTGAAAGGGCACAAATTAGAATGGAAAAGAAAGTAGCCTCTTAATTACCATAAGTTTACATTAACTATTCATTTCATCTTCATCAAATCTCACAGATATGCATGTTCACATTTTGTGGCTAAGGAAAGTGAAGAGGTTAAATTAAGCCCTTCTTTAATAGCTAATATGATTCTAACATAGCTAATAGGATTCTTAATAAAGCCATGACCCACATAGCCCAGTCCTAGACAATGTTTTGGTTTAAAAAGTCAAAGGAAAACAAACAATATACTAATGTATGACAAAAATAGTTTCAGAATTGAATTTCTTTCCTTGGGTTTCTAGAACACCACAATGACGGCTTCCTATACCTTCCTGGGATGACCTCCTGACACTGGTTCTGAGCCTTGTTCGTCTTGGCAGTGCGACCTATTTGGTGTGCCTCTAGGCTTTAACTCCCCTGCCCCAGTCCTGACTCCGCATTTCAAAACCCACAATAATTGGTCTTGAAGAGTAAGACTTTTCTTGGACTTTTGGGCAAGGAAGACAAGCTAGAATCTGCTTCAACAGGCAGGTTGAGGAAAGGCTGTTAATTTGGCTGTAACCCCCTTTACGATGGAGCTGTGATTCTGACCCAGATGCCTCTCTGAAATTTACATGGTTTTCATCCTCCATGCTACCTGGGGAGAGTGCTGGAATAACAGAAGCAAAGATGGACTCTCCCAGGTCCAGCCTTCTTGATCTCCGCTGTGCTAAAACTTAATCTCTAACACTTAATAAAGTACCATATGGTGTATGGTAATAGTCTGTCTTTCTCACTGTTTTCAGTGTTTTACTTAGGTCAGCATGGTACAGGCTGTCCCCTTAGCCTGGAGGACCCTTTCCTTGCTTATCCTCTGATCAATGCCTACTCACTCCTGAAGGCCCAACCGATGTGTTTACTTCCCTCAGGCTCCCCAGAATTCCGCACACGTATCTTTAGTGTTAAATTACCACAGGGTGTTGTGGTTATGGTTGCCCATTTGCCAGTGGCTGGAAACTTTGTGCTCCCTAGCGCGGGAACCATGCCTCATTTGCCTGCTTCTTCCTTCCAGTGCCCAGCATGGCTTCTACCACATAGCTGCTCACTAAACATTCTTTTAAATGAATAAAAAGTTAATTATTCAGTTATTTCTATAGGTAGCAGAAGGCTATGCCCTAAAAGGGATGCTCGATAGCACTAACTGAGCTGAGAGCAGGAGGGAGATGCTGTAAGTCATGTTTCAAGAGAATGGATGTGGCAGCAAGATCTGTCATTTGAGACTTTCAGGCCTTAGAATAATCGCTGGTGTTTTGACATTCTTCCGTATCTTTGGGAGAAATAAATGGAACTAATGTGAAAGAAATTCTTTTGGGACCTTCTCAGAAGTAACTGGTACTGATTCAGCAAAACAAGGCATCAGAAAAGATCCTGGCACCGTCTCTCCCTCCCCAAGGCTTTGCGACTATGAGGGAAGGCATGCTCTTTTTACCTCCACATTAAGTGCCAGGAATTCTTAATGAACAGATCCTTTCCTCTTTGATTTCCTTGTGCTCTGTCTCCCTTCCGCTTTACAGGTTTACTTGTGTATACTCCACTGAAGGTAAGATTTACAACAGGGGTCTTTCTTAGATTTACAACCTGACTACTTTTTTTCTAGTCGTAAGTTGGTTCTCTGATGATTGGTTAACATTTGACACAACCATCCCATAAGGATTTAATTTGTTATTCAGACGCAAAGTATTCTCGGATCTATGCAAATTGTATTTGGCATCTCCAAAGCCGATGGCTCTGGCCTGGGTGGTCCCAGTATAAGTCCTGCTGACCTCTGTCTTGGCAAGCATTAGAGTTCTGTGTCTTCTCATGTGAAATCATGAACGCAGAGTTTATAGGTGGTCAAGCAGAGAAAACTGAAGGTTGGTGATGTTAAATCATCACTCAAGGTCCTATAGCTGTAGGAAAAGCCCGAGATCTTAAAAACACATTTCAGGAGAAACTGGAAAAAAGACGACCAGTTATGACATGGGGAATTTAGAATTATTTAGGGTCCTTTAAAATTAAGGGAACTCTACATGTCTTCTGCTCAGGATGTGCTGAATATCAACAACCACTGAAATCATTTCAGAAATTTCTAGAACTTAAGAATTTTTGTTTGACATACAGAAAGGCCACAAAATTAACTGTGTCTTGGGTTGAAATCTGAAGTATAGTGGGTTCCATATGAATGGCCTTAATTGACAAAAGTTTGGGGTTGGCCCCTAGTGGTGTTTGTGGCTGGGCATCGCTATCTGCAGATGTATAGTTTTATATAGATTAAAACCTTAATTATCTTACATACTAACTTTAAATATCATTTATGTGAGCATTTATAAAGATGATAACATTCAATTTGAGTAATCCAGCTTTTGCTGGGTGTCCTTATGGGTTAGACACATGCCAGGGAAGAAAGATATGAAGCGCTAGGCTCGGCCTTAAGAACTCCCAGTTGAGAGGAAGGGTCAGAAACCTTGGTGGTCATGGCAGCGGCATGATTATGCCCAGGGAGCTAAAAAAATGTAGAGGAGATAATACTATCCAACCTGGAAATCTGGGAGACAACTAAAGTTGCGTGAAGGAAGGTACAGAGGATCCTGCACAGACTGGAACACTGAGTTGTAAATGTGTTATTTTACCATGAGTCCACAACCACAATAATAACAGAGATACATGATCTCAAAGTAGAAGTTTTATCTCTGATTTTGTTTATGAAGATCAGTCTTTCCCATTTCTTAGATCTTCTGGTTGCCTTCGCTGTTGCTCTGTAATTTTCTGCTGTTCATAGTTAGATGTGTATCACCCATTTTCATCAACAGAGAGAAGAGGATTACAACTAGGAAAAAAAATGAAGACCATTAAGTAGGCAGTTTGGTTCACAAACTCATGTAAACCTAATGCATGGAAACGATGTACGGCAATATCCAATGGGAAAAGTCAATGGGAAAAGTCAATGAATAAGTCTAAGTTTTGACTTGGGTATTTGTTATTTGTATTTTCTGGTTTGCCCACTTCCCCAAAGTTAATGTTCCATAATAAGTTGACCCATACTAGCAGCTATAATTTTAGAGAGTCTCATGGATGTTCAGATGAAGATAGGTGTGCTTTAATCAGTTTTTGACTCACTGCTGTTTCAACTTAGAACTTTCCTGAGCTGTAGTTCCCTCACTCACAGAATGGGAGAGAAACACCTTAGTGATATTTTGGAATTAAATGAAATAACATTTAGCAGTGTTAGGTACTATGCCTGGAACATAACAGGTGCTGAGTAAATAATAGCTTATATTATAATAGCTTATATTATTACCCTCATTCTCTCGACAGTATCCTATTGCTTAGAGATTAAGTACGTGACTCCCCTCCCTCCTGCCCCAGAGTGTCCAACTTCATAGTCTGAAGCACAAATTAGTTACCAGAGTGAAAAAGCTCAATCCCTCTATTTGTCACTAAGAACAGAAAGTCTAGAAGTCCAGTCTGCCCTTTCAATGCTTGAACTTCTTTCTTATATATCCAGATATTTTCTGGGTGTGTCAGTTTCTCAGGGACAATCTGGTCAAGCTTTGCTCTGTTGTGATATGCACACCCTGGTGATTGTAGATGTTGGTTAAAACTAGCATAAATAAATTGAATGTGAAGTGGAGAAGGTGAGGGAGGTTCCCAACTCACCAGGTGGCAGTGGCTGCTAGGGTGGCTTTGCTCCTGCAGCAGCTGTAGTTCTGTGTGTGTGTGTGTGTGTGTGTGAGAGAGAGAGAGAGGCTACCAATTCCGCTGTTCCTGGGCACTTTTCTCACCAAAGAAGAGAGAGGAGGGGCCAACCAACAATGCAGACTCCATTGTCTTCCACGCTAAGTGTGCAGTAAATTATTATATTCGGTTGGGCAAACAAGGGCAAGTGGCCAGACGGTATGCTGCCAGATTCTGTAGCAGGTGTTTGGCCCCTCATTGTTCATGGCATTCCAGGACAGCATTCTGGAATCTAGCAGAGATGAGAATCTGTTTCTGGGAGGGGAACTGGGTTCTGGGACTGTGGGGCTTTCCAGCTACATGAATAGACAGCACTGGCTCCTCCTGGTATATTCAAGGGCTAGGATTCAGGAGCAAACTGACCTGGCAGGACTTTAAGTCCATCCTTATCCTGCTAGCTCGGTGGTTTTGATTGGGAAGCATTAGTTCTTCCCTTGGCAGAATTAGGGGCTGAGGTCCAAGTCTGGAGGTTGTGGTTGGTATGAGATGGTGAGCTTAAGGTGTGTTCATGGTTGGGGAAGCCTTCAACCCTTCCTGGTACAGTTGGTGAAACTGGAGTCCAAGCCATGCAATTGACTGGAATTGATTGCCTTACGTGCTCAGCAGTGGCTAGTTTCTATGGCTACATGTGAGTGGCCTGCTCCTCTGCTGGGAGGCCAGTTTGCAGGGAATGACCACAGGCAAGGGAACCCCTACTATTCACATGATACATGAGATACTGATAGACTGTTCATGTTAGTTTTGTATTGGGACTGGAATTACTTCCATTTTGTTAGTCATTTTGTTAGTTATTTTGTTAGTCATTAAATATAAAATTAAATTTTTTTTCCATGTTAAACAAAAAACTGTAATTGGGGGCTATAGGAGTTTACTTGGCATCCTGATCCTGTTCCTTGAGATTGACCTTTGTAGCTGCAGTAGACATTCATTTGACACTTATCTATCTTTATCAAGGGTGTTATGTAGAGGCAAGTCCGTGTGGACTTCAGGATAGTCATTCCTTCATTCTTAATTCATAAAACATACATTTACTCAAGATCTGCTGATTACTTGGGACAGATTTATGAACAAACCATAGTGTGAAGAATTAATGGTTTGCTTGGAGAGAAAGGAAGGTGAGTTCACAAGTGTAATCAACATAACAAATACCACAACTGAAGCAATTACAAAGTCCTTTTGGAGCATAGAGGTAGGAGTAATTGGCCCTGAACAACGGGAAAATTTTACCATAGACATGCTATTCAGCTTAGGTCTTGAAATGAGAATAACTTTCCTTGGTGGGGAAGAGGCAGAAGAACTTTCTGGGCAGGGGATATAATTTGTGGAAAGGCCTGGAGATTGGGGAAGCCTGACTTGATTATGGAATGGCAAAAAGCCACTGGGGCTAGAATCTAAGTTTGAGGCTCACAGGAGAGAATAAAAGTAAAGACCATTTATTAACAGAGAGAGTGGGTGTCTGACGATGGGAGGGAAATCAGAAAACTGTATTTCTAGGAAAGAATTTCCCATAGTATGTCCCATATTGCTCTAGCCCTTGAGATATGGACAAAGATTTGCAGGTAAATGTGGAAATGCTACAAAACACTGTAGCATATGTGTATGTATATGTACAATACTATAGTATTCTATGAGCTCTGATAAATTAGACAATAGAAACATTCAACTATTTGGTTTTTCGACTCAACCATAATATTGTTTTGAGTTACTAACATCTTCAGGAATTAACATTCTATGTTGTACATCTGGGTAATGCTATTCTAGGGACATATAAACTCAAAGTAGGTCTAAAAGGGGAAGAAGACCAGTCAGACCTATGTGTATTAGAAAGTGACCTTTTGGGGCCTTGGCTATGAAGCTCATGGCTGGTGATTACTGAGGGTGCTCAAGAGAAAGAGGAGACAGGTCTCCAGCACCTAGGGGCAATGTTGGGGAACTAGCCTTGGGGCAGTGGGTTTACCTGGTCACTGGACCACAGGATGACAATGTCAAACATTGGTATATCAAGGTAGGAGTGGCCTATTAATAGAAGGTGAGTTGGGAACAATTTACATGAGACTTCTTGTGTTCTTACAAAGCATCAGATTTGGGCACAGATTCTGAAGCACGTCTGATCCTGTGGAGTAGGAGTTGGGTGGTGGATTGATGGTCAAGAGGATTTGAACTCCATGAGCCCATTAAGCACCACCCAGTCTCCTTCTCCCTTCTTTAATTTTTTTTTTTTAACATTTATTCATTTTAGGGGGAGAGAGAGACTGAGAGATTGAGTGGGAGAGGGGCAGAGAGAGAGAGAGAGGGAGACACAGAATCCAAAGCAGGCTCCAGGCTCTGAGCTGTCAGCACAGAGTCGAACGCAGGGCTTGAACCCATGAGTGGTGAGATGATCTGAGCCAAAGTTGGATGCTTAACTGATTGACCCACCCAGGGTCCCGTCCTTCTCCCTTTTTGATAGGTTTCATACATGTTGCCTTCAGGAGAGTTTCCTGTCTCTAACATACCTACAATTCCCTCTTGTTCTGTTCCCTGTGTTCTCCTTCAGTGACTTGTTTCAAATTCTCCCTCACTCTATGCACCAGAACTACTTCCCATCCACCAACATGTCCCATCCTACAGTGCTATTAAAAGTAAACACTTAATGAATGCTTATAGTGTATTGGGTCCTTTGCTAAATACTTGATATAAATGATTTATTTACAGTAATCCATAGGATAGTCACTTAGGAATGCATTTAGGGGTAAATAATGGAAACCTCACTAACAGTGACTTAAACAAATTTGGACAATTTCTTCTACATAAAGTCCAAAGAGAAGTAGTTTTTGAATTGAGTCTCCATGATGCCACTGAAGACTCTAGACTATATGTAGCTTCTTATTCCATCTTCCTCAGGCTTTGAAAATTGTCTGCATGTTTTGGCCTCATAGTTGCAAAGTAGGTGCTGTATACGAAGGCATCATGTTACATCTCCCTTTACCTAGGGTTTGCGAGCTGGTTTACTTGAAACACGTAGCTTTCCCAGAAACTTCTGGGGCATTTCTGTTCTTGTCTCATTGAAAAGAACTGTGACATGTGATCTTTCCAGCTGGAAAGAGGCTGGGAAATTGAGGATTTAGCTTTCTAATCTCTACAGTTGAGGAAGGCTAGGGTGAAATGGGTTGAAAGTGGGTTCTAGGTTTACAGGACCTGTCACGGTAGGCATTGTTATTCTCCTGTTAGATGACAAAACAGCTCAGGAGGCTAGGTTAACTTGCTTGGGGTCACGTAGCTGTTAAGTTCTAGAGGCAGATTCCAAGTTGACTTCGTCTGATTCTAAAGTCTACATGGGGTTCCCATATCCCACGTCTCCTCAAAATTTTAAAGTTCAGTTGAATTCAGTGTATGTTTACTGAGTGAACATCTATATTCAAAGTGCTATATTGGAATTCCAAATGGATATACAGATAATTAAAACATTGTTCCTGTCCTCCAGAAATCTTTCACTCTGGAGGTAGACTTGAATGGCGGATATCAGTGGGGCACACGCAATAAGTTGTGGGTGTACTAGGGAGGGACAGTAGAATCCTGCATGGGGAATCCTGAGAAGGCTTTCTGGAGGAGAGATTTGATTTGGGCATCTGTCTGTAGAGGTTTCTTTTTTGAGCACTGTGGTTATTCTTAATTTCTGTAAACCTCAGTTAACAATAACCTAGTCTTAGGTCGTCTCAGGTGGAGTTTTTTGGAAATTAATGCAGGGGTATAATGTCTGAAAGCAAATCAATTGATCGAGTTTTTGGTTTTTATTTTAACATTTGCCCCAAATCCCATAATCTTGGACTTTAAACCAAAACTAGATCTAGTCTATCAAATGAAAACACATGAAGTAAAGCATTTCAAAACAGTAATAACCACAAAGCCATTTAAAATAAGTGTAACCTACAATATATTTTCCTAAACAAGCTGAAGTGTCAGGTGGCATTGCATAAAGAGAAGTTTTTATATTCCAATTACACAGGAATAAAATGACCGATGAACCGTTTTTTACCCTGACACAAAGGTAATATAATGTACTGTTCTTTCAGTGGGGAAAAAAAATTAGAATGGACCTGAATAGAAGTAAAGTGAGAATATCTTTTTTTTTTTTTTAATTTATTTTTATTTTGAGAGTACGAGTTGGGGGTTGGGGCGCAGAGCTGGGGAGAGAGAGAGAATACTAAGCAGGTTCCATGCTTGATGCAGGGGCCTGATGCCGCGATGCTGGCTGGGATCATGACCTGAGCTGCAATCAAGAGTCAGACATTTACCTGACTGAGATACCCAGGCTCCCAAGAATACTTTTTTTTAATTAAAATTTTTTGATGCTTATTTATTTTTGAGAGAAAACAGAGTGTGAGTAGGGGAGGAGCAGAGAGAGAGAGAGAGAGGGAGACAGAGAATCTGAAGCAGGCTCCAGGTTCTGAGCTGTCAGCACAGAGCCTAACGCAGGGCTGGGGCTTGTGAACTGTGAGATCACTACTGAGCTGAAGTCAGATGCTTAATTGACTAAGTCACTCAGGTGCCCCAAGAATACTTTTAATTATAGATCTTAGAGCCCCCTGCCACTCCCCCCCCCCCCGCGCCCCTCCCCCGCCCTCCCTGAAAGATAAAAGAGCAAAGCACATGACCAGACTGTTCACAAAAGAGGCAAAACCATGAGTAAGGGTATGTAGAAAATTGAAAGCAAGAGAGANCGCCCCTCCCCCGCCCTGATTGAAAGATAAAAGAGCAAAGCACATGACCAGAGTGTTCACAAAAGAGGCAAAACCATGAGTAAGGGTATGTAGAAAATTGAAAGCAAGAGAGAAATGCAGAGGAAAGCAAGTAGACATCATTTTCTTTTTGTCTGCTAAATTAGCCCAGGATTAGGATAAATCCACTGGCAAGAATTTGGTGAGATGGCAAGAGCCTGTGCCTGTTTTAGGATTATAAAATGCTCTCTTTCCAGGAAGCAGTTGAACAGCATATATCAAAAACCTCAAAACGTTTATACTGTTTAACCCCTTACTTCCACATCTGGAATCACACGGAAATAGAGACACACCTAAAGAAGTAATCTGAAATGTGGACAAAAATAGATGCACAAATATATATGTTACAGAATTGTTAGAAAAATGAAAATGTAATCCCCAAATATAGGGGATTGGTTAAGCATACCATATATCTATGTGATGCAATGATTTAGCCAATATGAAAAACATTTGAAAACTTAAGGATATGGGGAAATACTGAAAATGTTCAGGGTATAAATAGCACAATGACCACTGTGAAAAAACATCTGAAAAGAAACTTAAAAATATTAATAGATTTTACTGAGTTGTGGCATTTGGGAAACTTTGCTTTTTATATATTTTGTGTCTTCTACATCTTCTACAGTGAACACATGATGATGATAAAAGTATGCTGATGAGCACGGGCCCTGAGTTCCTCAGGTGAAAGCACTGCTTGTTCGCTCTTCCCCCAGATCCCAGCCTTGCTGCCGAACCTCACAGGCAGGTGACAGTCTGGGCTTGTGGTGCCTGTTCAGAACTTTCTCTTGGGGAGGCAGTGGCTTCTTCAACTCATCTTAGCCGTCTGCAGGCACACGGTTCTTAAATCCTCACAGCCTTGTAGGGTTCGAAAGGCAAGGCAAGACAGCCTGTGGTGGCCATTCTTGAGACCTCTGTCATTCCTCACTGTGGTCTGGCTGTGGTCTGGCCCTGTTCTGGCCCAGCAATGGGACCGAGCTGTCGGCTTTGTGCTCGGGATACAGATGTGCTGTGAGGCCTCCATGTGGGTCAAGAAGATGACTTGGCAGAGTGTCTGCACCCATACCTGGAGAGCATTAGCACCTCTGTGTGACAGTTAAGCCCTCAAAGAGTTCTGCCTTCTGCCAGCTGTCCAACTCGGGGGTAGCTGTGAGCAGGTGGTACTACCGAGGGGGGTCATGACCACTGTGGAGTGGAGACAGGAGAACAGGCCTACAGCAGGCATCACTGACCTCCTGGTCTAGAGTCTAATTGTGAAACTTCTCTAAATGTCATGGTGGGGGCGAGGGGGGTGGTGCCTGGGTGGCTCAGTTGGTTAAACATCCGACTCTTAATTTTGTCTTCAGGTCATGGCCTCCTGGTTTGTGAGAATTGAGCCTTGTGTCAGGATTCTCTGTCTCCCTCTCTCTCTGTCCTTTCCCCTCTCTCTTGCCCATGAGTGTGTGAGCATGTGTGTGCTCTCTCTCAAACAATCATTAAAGATCATCTTCCATGGCATCATGGAAGTTTGCTTGATAGGACTGGTTTTATTGAATCTATTGAATCCATCCAGCAGTTATAATGACGATAGGTGCCAAGCAGGTGTGTCAGGCTCTCTACCTACAGCCAAAATACTATAAGTACTATAAGTAACATTTTAATAGAATCTTTACTACTCTCCTTTGAGGTCAGTGTCATTATCCTTCTCTCATAGATGAGGAAACTGACCTAAATCCTACCCATTACAAGAGAGCAATCCAGGATTCAAGCTCAAGTCCTTATAACTCCCCAGGTTTATCATGCTCATAACCAGCACATGGATGCTTCCCAAACTTCAGTCATTTTAGTGTCACTTTTATCAAGGCCATGCCCCATCCATAATTTATTCAATATTTTTGTCAGCTTGTTTTTTCCAGTTAAATCATGGATTTAATGTGCTGGTTGTATTGTTTTCAAATGTATCAATTTTAAAAGGCACATAAGTTTTATAAAGGTTTCATTCCTGTACCTTTAAAAACACTTTGGGGGTGCCTGGGTGGCTTAGTTGGTTAAGTGTCCACCTTCGGCTCAGGTCATGATCTCACCGTTCCAGAGTTCGAACCCTGCATCCAGCTCTGTGCTGACAGCTAGGAGCCCAGAGCCTGCTTTAGATTCTGTGTCTCCTGCTCTTTCTGCCCCTCCTCTGCTCATGCTCTGTTTCTCAAAAATGAACATTAAAAAAATGTTTTTAAAATAGTCGGAACACCAGAGGACGTGTACCACATTTTAGGGAAACTATATTGTGCTGCTCTTTTTAGACTGGACCAAAGTGCTGACAGGCTACTGACCAGTTGCTATTCACTGGAGGTTTTTCCTTCCTGCCCTTGGTAGAATCTCACTGGTCCTAACTATTTCTGCTAATATACTCATCCCAAGGTAAATGGTGGATCAAAGGGATGCCACCTCCCCTTCTCATCTTCTGTGAGGAGCTGGGGTGTCTGACATGCTCTGCACGGGGCTGCGCACACTCCGGATCAAGCACGTTAGGCTTTTAGAGTCAGGAACAGTGGCTTTGGCTCTTTTAGGAATGGCTCACGGAATAACAGTGTAACAGAATTTGTAGTGTCTGTGTTGAGGAGATGGGGACCTTCCTTGGGCCACTTCATTTTTCTTTACGGTGTGATCCCTCGCTAGACCTCTGAATGCTGTCAGTAACACACTTGGCCATAAAACATTGATCTGCTAGAAAGTCCCTTGGGGGAAAAATTAATATCCCTTCACCTCTGTGCTATAAATGGATGACATTTTCACTATGGTGGTGCTATATACAGCCTGAGAAAAACCTGGAAAGCAGAAAACTTGCCTCCTATATAGATAGAATGCTAAGCTAGGAATGAACAGGTCTTTGTTCTTATCTTTCCTGGGCCTCTGTTTACTCCTCTACAACAGTACCTTCCTCATGGGGCTACTCCATTGTACCTGGAATGTGCAGAAACACATAACACATTAAAATTTTTATACCACGGTAGTTACTGTGATACATCTCTGTGTAAATTAAGGGGGTCAGAGCAATGAACTTTGCACTCTTTCCACTCTCAAGGAGGGAGTGGGACAGAGGGTTCTGAGCACATCACCCTGGCTTCTTTGGTGAACTGAGTAAATCAGATGGATGGCAGCATCCTTTATTTCTATTAAGCTTTAGAACCTTGTTTGTGATATTTGCTAGTTGTATTGAGGCAGAAATAAAAGGGAGGAATGAAGGAACATCAAGAATACACCAGCCATCCTCTCCCTGAGCAAAACTGAGGGAACCCAGTGTGGCCAGGAAGGGCAAAGACACCAAGGATAATCACAAAATATGTAGGTCATTGGTCCCCAAATCTCCAAAATGTGCTGGAACAATAGCGTGGTCCAACCCAATTATTGCAAAATTCCATATTCTAATGAGAAGGCAAGGAGGAGGAGTCACTTGACCTTTAAATATATATATGTGTTCATCTTGTCGGGAGAGATTTGACTTTGGTATCATGTTGACCTGAACAGCTCCCCAATTTTGGTGATAATTTAAATCATTGTTCTGTGATTTTTCTAGTAATAATTAGATTTTATGTGTACTGCATTTTAATAGAGAAATTATCCCCAATCCTTACAATAGTGCTGTGGGTTGGACAATATCACTTCAATTTTACTGACGAGAAGATCAGGGTGGGAAGGTCCAGCCATACTCCTGAGGCTGGCTGTTTAATAAATGCCAGACCCCAGAGTTGAGTCTGTTTGACTCAAACTCAAGCCTCTTGTTGCATGCTAGTTTTGTCTTCACTTAGTAATTCTTTCTGAGGTATTAAGGTTTAAAAGCTTTGAATTTCTGGGGCGCCTGGGTGGCTCAGTCGGTTAAGTGTCCGACTTCAGCTCAGGTCATGATCTCACGGTTCGTGGGTTCGAGCCCTGCATCGGGTTCTGTGCTGACAGCTCAGAGCCTGGAGCCTGTTTCAGATTCTGTGTCTCCCTCTCTCTCTGCCCCTCCCCCACTGGTGCTCTCTCTCTGTCTCAAAAATAAATAAAAAACAAAGGAAAAAATTTTTTTAAATAAATAAAAGATTGGAATTTCATTTCTTTAAGTGGGCCCCATGCCCAGTGTGGGGCTTGAGCTCACAATTCTGAGATCAAGAGTCACATGCTCTACTGACTGAGCCAGCCAGGCGCCCCTGAACCTGGCATTTCTTGAGTGTCAAACCTTGACAGAACATTAAGAGAAGGAAAAAATACGTCACTGAATAAGAAGTTGGAAGTTTAGTACATTAGTTATCTTCCAAATTGATTTTGGAAATCACTTATCTAATTAGCCATTATGATTATTAGTCGTTTCCATGGAAACAATGCTATCTTATTACTCAAAATAGACACCCAGTTATGTGCTTATTTCTGCACAATCCAGCCATCAGCACCTGACAGTTCTGACAATAGAAGGAGGGATTCTTTTTTTTTTTTTTTTTTTTAATTTTTAGTTGGGATAACTACTGGCTACAGAGTCCTATCTTGTTAATATTTCTCATGGACCTCTTCACACTCAGGCCTCCTCAATTGCACAGGTGTACAGCAGTGGTCCTTCAATGTGGCTACACATTGGAATCACCTGGAAGTGGCCTTCTACGCACAGACCATCAGAATCCCTGGGAATGAGACTCAGCTATCAGCACTTAAAAACTTCCCCAGGTGTCTCCCATGGACATGTAACTGGCTCTTAAGCAGTTGCAAGTGTTTCCAGGCAAACGCACACCATTCTCTCTCCACAGACTTGCCAGAACATGAAACCCTGAGTCTCAAACCAAGTTGCTCCTTTGGAATCACCTAGGGCTGGGGGAAGAGTTTAAAAACAGACTGATGCCTGGGCCATCCTCACCAGATATTTTATTAAATGGTCCCTGGAGGGGGCTGCTCAGACATCAATATTTTTAAAAACTGTCTCCCTGCTACCTCCCCCAGGCCATGCTACCGTACAACCAGGTTTTGCACCTGAGTCACACCTACTAATCTTGGCAGGAGACCGAAGGCTCAAGTTTATTATGTTTACACTACATTAGTTTCCAGTAAGGCCTGATGCTTTTCACCAGACATCTTCCTGGTTCAGACATTAAGAGCTGAACAGTGAAAAACTCAATTTAAATAAGATTTTCCAGGGTCATAGGGCTGAACATCTTGCCAGCCTGAGTTACTGAATCCTGGTGCTAGCAATTATTGAAGCACTGGCATAGGGGCTATCTGTGACGGTGGGGAGTTCTAGATTAGTTGTTCCGTTTGGCCTTGTTTCTACAATCGGAAGCCTTATTTCCCTCATGGAAATGAAAGGTTTTAAAACAACAACGAATCAATGACCATATCACATTATATTGGAACGCTGAAAATATTCAAGCTGCTTAATAAATTAAAACAACTATGCTTGTATTAACTACTCAATGGTAAGCAGCTATCTGTAATTTAAATTCCTACCCATTATTTTGACCCAGTGGTGCTTTGGCTTTTACTGCGTGTAGCTTGCTTATTGATTCCTTCTCCTTTCTCAGATAGTAATAGTGCTGTGTCCGTGATGGCCCCTTCCTCACAGTGAGAAAGAACTTTTCTAATGACTCAGAAACTCCGAAATTAAACCTAAAATGTTGACTGCAATGAGGCCAGGCCCACATTCTGTATCACCATTGCTCTACGATAATGTAATTCAGATAGAAATTATCTTTTGCACACGGCAATCAATTTTTGCTACTACTTTTTGCTTTCTTGACAATCTGGTCAGTGGGCTGTGGAAAAGTGCTTTTGCTTGATTACTTACACTGTTGATGATCAGTGTGGGTTTTGGCACAGCTAAGGCATTATTTCACAGACCTGCATTGCAATGGGGAATGGGTGTAACTTTAAAATACTGCCAAAGTTCTTGTGGCTTTAGCCGACACCAAGGAATGTACAAACTCAAACACGATTCTAATGACACTTCATTCTTTTATGGTGGTTTGCCTCGGGCCAGTCCACATACTGGGACAAGGTAAACAAACATGGGTTGGTGAAGCAGGGCTCCCCCACTGTGGAGGCCTTCAGGGACAGCCTGTGTGTCTTACTTAGTCGCTAGGACACTCAGCCTTCCACTGGGAACCGTGGGTCTGAAAGGAAGAAATACATTAAAAAAAATTTAAAAACTGTTAGTGCCACTGTGCTATCTTCCAAAGGGAAGGAGGTCTGCTACTACAGTATGAATGTTTTGTTTGCATCCAAATGTTGGTAAAGAAATGAAAAGAACAGACCTGTAGTGTGGCAGATAACTTTTGGAAGTGACCGCACAAGAAAGGAGCAGGATGCATAGAAGGAGAAAGCTGTATTAAATAACTGTTGAACACGCTTTTTCTCTCCTTTCCTTGACTTTTAAAATTATTTTTCAACATTTCAAACAAGTCAGGTATGCCACAGTTATGAATAC